TATTGCCACCATTTGAATTGTTTTTGATCAACGTTACACTCCATTCTATGATTATGAATGCACGACCGAGTAGCTATATATACATTGCTATTTTGTTGGAGATGTTAACGTTTTGCTAGTTCTATCTCTGAATTAGGTATGTGCAGAAGCTAGACTGCACAAAATGTAATATTTAATATGCTCAAAGCTGAAAATGACAGTTCGGTGGTGGTCGTTCCTGTGACAACACGTAGGATTTTCCAAACAGCAAATCAATTGTACTCCATTTAAATGAAGTATTGCCTGTGTGCGTAGGTACTGCACTTTAGGGCACAAAATCGCACAGATCTGCTGATCTGAATTCTATAAATCGACAAAACATCTGGTTGTCTTACGATAACCTTTGTTTTAGGAAGTTGATTACCACAGTTACCATGGGACAAAAAATTAATTTTCAAGTCTGGCAACCTCTGTTTAGTGAAACTCCCTGGAGGAGATTACTCTCCTTCCAAGGACAAGCCCACTAAGATGGGCAACCGAAGTCCAGAACAGGTATTGGCGTAGGAAAATGGTCGCGTATACAGCGACGACCATTTTCGACCAAATTAACGAACATTTTGCTTGAAAAAATTACGTGGCCACAATTTCTGCACAAGACGAGGACATTTGCTAAAGGTAGCCGAGCGGGAAAGCAAAATGCGCAACGTTTACAACGTCCTAAATTCTCCTATCAGATTCTGTCACAAAGTTTCATGAGATAGGTCACGTACTGTACATATAATTGCAGTCGATCCGACACCAGCCCGTGACTCGCTGGAAGAGCATTCGATTCCCCTCTTCGATGAACAAAGTACCCGGGATGATGCCGTCCACTGGTTGACGACGACGACATCAAATGTGCCAGGAGTGGTCATTCTAGTCCTATCCACCCTTAACCACAAGCACTTATCAATAACTTATTGCCTGCGTGGTCTCTGAAGTGGGACTCTATTGGCAACACGAAATTGCTCCTATTCCGTCTTGAAATCAGGATGAATCCATGAACACCACTCCCAAGTGACATCAGAATGTTACACTCTTCAAAGTCATTTCGTTTTTACGGATGAACAGTCAAAGTAGCAAAGCGAACTTTTGACCAAGTGCGGTTGAAACGTAAAACTGTAGATTTTGTCTTAAAACGTGCACTAGTATGGCACAAATTTTTACTCGTTTAGAAGCACAAAAGTCATGGTTTGTTGAATAATGTTTTCCAGGGACTACCTTCCAACCAAGATCTAGGTCCGCCTCTAATGTTAGGCACTCTAGAGAGCAGGAAGCTGCATACAAACGCACTATTTGAAAAAGGCAACAGCTGCATTCTTGTGAATCACTAGTGTCAGATTTAATAGTCTGGGGAGGTGACAAATAATTCAAAAAATTTATCTGTTGAGAATTAGATGGCCATTTTCCACTTTATGACATTGCGAAATTCGGACCTAAATCTACCAATTTAAATTTTCAACTATTTATTATAACGGTTGGATTGGTCCTTGTTTTAGAAAAGCGTCCACGCTTTGTGAGTCTCCCGCAAAATCATTAAGCTCAACACCAACAATTTTAGAGATTACTTCAGCAGTGAGCATGATTTTCAACAATCCGTCACCGCGTTAGTGAGAAACATCTGCTATCTTTGATTTAATCGACAACATGCGTTCCCAGGCATAAAGGAGAAAGTAGCGTGATCTCGGGAGTCTGGGTTTAACTTCTGTTTTATGCGTGCAACAGATTATTGTCCTAATCAAAAGCGTCCCCATCGCTTCGTTCAACGGAGTTATTCCAACTGCAAGTCACTGAATCCGCTTTATGATAAAAAGTGGCCGATTTTAATAGCAGTAGCAGCTGCTCGGACTGTCAGTAGTTTATGCCGTGAAACTGCCTTACCAAAAAGTATGAAAACTACTTACAGTAGCTAAAACATAATTGGGATGCTACTTCCAATCAGAAAACTCCCGAATATCGCTTTTCCAAATGCGAGATCCGGCTTCCAAAAATGACTTTAAGATGGAAAATTACCCTGTTTGAATTTGGCTCCTCTGTTTTCCCGAACCGTCTTGTTCGCTGGAAACAATTCGCGAAGAACGCAAAGCATTCAGTATAAAATTTATCGGAAGATGTGCGTTAATGGGCTATTCTCCATGCCATTTTCCCAATCTGTCGTATTTTATTATAGGTCCCGGTCTACAGCGGTCCCTTTGATTTCACCTAGGTCGGCCCAGGAATGCGGGAAAAATTCTAAAAAAGCGCTGGTTCTTCAAAAGCACTTCAGGTTGTGATCTGAAAAAAATAGAACGAGATTTTTCAGCACACCCCCAACAAAAAAGGTCATTTTTGTTTGATGAACCCGTCGTGGTTGAGCCTAGCTACGTTTTGACTGAGGTGGGAGATTGTACCTAAATGTTTGGCTAAAAACAGCGCAGATCTGACTATATGAGCTGTGAGTTGATCCTCTCCCTCGCTAGTAATAAATATAGCAAAAACTGCCTCGATATCAACTAAGATGAGTGAAATACGCAGCCCATGCTGTCGGGCTAGCGACATTTATGAGTACTGCGTGCAGGAAGTGGGTAAAATACGTGCCGACGAGCTTCGTGCATTCGTTAAAGTAAAAAAAATTGAACGAGAGAGCATGAGTATTGAATATGCTTCCTAATTTGCCCTTTTTAACGGAGCCGGATACGGAGCTGTGAACCCCTGTACTACAAGTGGCATTGCGCTAAATTCCACGGGGGTAGGTGCGTCGAGGTGCCAGACTAACTGACTTTTAGCAGCCTTGTCCTTTTTCCTCACATATGTGAGAGACTGCCATTAAGAAAAAGCAATCGTAGTCTGACCGCCGATACAAGCGAAGATGCGAGTTTCAGGAACTAGTTGATCGGAAGAAGGAGAAACGATAGCTGGAACAAGGGCTTTACTCGCCTACCGTTTCGGATTCTCACTTGAACCCATCATCAGAGACAGACACAGAAAAGGGTGACTCGTGCACAGGAAGTTGCAGTATTTATAGGATGCAGTCGCTATGCTACCGCATACCTATACCGCGTGAGCCGCGAGTTGCTTGAGTCAGGGTTTACGGGACCTCAGTATATCAACAAGTGCGACGACATCCCCGCTCCATATTCCATGCTGAGGCATAGGCTGGCCAAAGTAATTAACCACTTGGGGAGAGCGCAAGCCGGTGAGCTGGACGACCGAGCAATCATCACACCAGCATCCAACACGGGTGATGAAATTTCAGCAATTAACAACTTGCATTTCGGTCATCAAGCAATTAGCGCACCAACGGGCAACAATCCTTGATGAAGGGGAGCGCGGATAATTGCTATAGGTATGTGGTAGCATAGTGACTGCATCCTATAAACACTGCAACCCCCTGTGCACGAGTCACCCTTTTCTGTGTCTGTCTCTGATGATGGGTTCAAGAGAAAATCCGAAACGGCAGGCGAATAAAGCTCTTGTTCGTAGTCGGACTCTCGGTTCACCAGTCGCCCACTCAACTCACAAAATGCACAATCAGGCCGACTGCGAGGTATGAGTTGATGCATCAGTTGGCAACCTTCCAAGCCAAGATTTTTAGCACAATGATATTTCCCATCACGCCAGATTGTTTATAGTGAAGAGTTATACGCTGAGAGCCGATTTCACCCGCTCCACCCTATCCCGCGCGCCAGTCGACTGTCCGTGCCGGTCAACCAACTGAACCCGAGATTGGGAAAAGTGATTGACAGAGCTAAGAAAGGCTCGTCTGCGCACGCCACACACGACCTGGCCCCCCATACGCACACACCAGGATTTCCCACACGGGAGGGATCGAACGCTCGAATCTCACACACAGCAGAGGGACCACATGAAGTAAGGGGCCGAAGTGCGCGCTTCGTACTTGCGTGAGAAGTGTCGATTATTTTGGGTGTTGGAGGTGTGCGTGGGCGCTGCATGTGTTGATGGGGGAGTGTATGGTGATGGGGTCATGTCCGCGGTGATTTACCACAGGTCTTCATAAATGCGCATGAAACCAAGTAGGTCCATTAGGTGTATGAATGCCCGTGGACGGAGTGGACAGTGAAGGTGGGTGCGGTGGAAGTATGTGGGGGGCCCTGAGACTGATGCACCAGCCGCAGGGGGATGAGTTCGCAAGCGGCCGACCAGGCCGATGCGTGGGGCGAATGTGCGGTCTCAATGAGGACAAGTTGGGACTGACTCCACATCGCTGGATGTGGGAGTGAAAATGATGAAGGTGGTGGTAGACGAACCGTCCAGGGCGTTTTGCTCAGTGCTGGGAGTGGGAGCTGTGGTGGTCGCCGTCGTCGCCGTAGAGGTTGTGGTAGAGATGATAAAGATAGCAGTGATCGACAGCGGTGACACACACAACAGTTCGACCGTTGCTGCCGGCGGCTTCCACCGTGTGCCACACAGCAGGATGAAAGTGGGGATAGTGGCTTGCGCGTGAATCAGTTTGTGCAGGGTTGCATAGCGTCTGCCGCACTCTCTCCTCCTCATCCATCACCCCGGCCCGGTGCCAGGACGAAGCCAAGAAGACCGGACGTCGGGGAGGGCACGGGGAGCTGGCGCGACCGGGGCCGCTCCTAGACGTGTTACGACACCCCGTTCGGATCGCAAGTGGAGAGTGTCATAGACGCCACGTTAAGGAGGAGCCATTGAAGCCTGACTCTCAGTCCACCAGTCTGCCACACACACAGGCACACACTGGGCTGACTGCAAGATCTGACTCCCATTGTCAGTTGGCAACCTCCCAAACCACGGCGCCTGGCGCACCGTGGTAACCTAAAACTCGGATCACACGTGCAGCGGAGGAGCCGCGTGGGGAAGGAGCCGAGAAGCACACTTTCCACTTAACTGGGAGGTGGCAAATGAGTGCTTGCGTTGCGTGCTGATGGTTTGTGTTGGTGTGCATTCCAGATGCTCATGAGGAGGGATGTGATGATGTGGCTTAACCGGCGGTGATCTACTACAGGTTACATGAATACTTATGTGGCCTCGTAGGCCAGTGCAGTGACTGAAAGTGCTGGGGCAGTGAGAGCAATTAAGGCGGGTGCGGCGAGTGTATGTGGGGAATCCAGGCACTGGTTTGCCAGTCCCTGTGCGATGGATTCGCAAGTGACCGACCGGGCCGAAGTGTGAGGTGAATATACGAGGACAGTGAAGGGAGGAAAGGATGCGAGAGTCAAATGCGGTTTCGGTGGCGATGGTGGTGGTGGTGGTGGTGGTGGTGGTGGTGGTGGTGGTGGTGGTGGTGGTGGTGGTGGTGGTGGTGGTGGTGGTGGTGGTGGTGGTGGTGAGCACAATGAGCGCTGAGTTGTTGACTGGGTTAGGCATGGTGGATGTGCAAGATGTACTAGATGTGTCGATAATGCGGTGGATTCCGCTGTAGTGGATACGCATGAGGTCTAGTAGGCCCGTGCGGTGAGTGAAAGTGCGGGGCAGTGCGGACAGCTGAGGTGGATACCGCGAGTTTATGTGGGGGCTTCAGGCACTGGTCCGCAAGTGACCGATCAGGTCCATGTGTGAGACGGACGTGCGATCGCAATGAGGACAGGTATGGACCGAGTCCGCATCGCTGGAGGTGGAAGTGTTGATGTGATGATAGTGGATGGCGGGGTTTTGGATGTCGTCCCATCGACGGGGAGGATCGCTAGAGGTCGTGATGCTAGCGGAGTATAGGTAGTGGATCATCAGCGATGCTGGTGGTCGTCGTCGTGGAGTTTGAGCAGGGCTGACATAAGGGATGTTTGTGGAATGAGAAGTTGGCTTCGGCGGGTTGTCGTTGCATTGAATCTGAAGGTGTCCGACAAGGCCGATTCGTGTGAGGAACGGCGTTGGCAGCGAGGACATGTTGGAAACGTCTAACTGTTGACATCGTGGATCCAAGGCGCTTGTGACTTGCTAGCCGCTCATTTCTTTTTGGCATCGGCGATCCGGTCTACCTCGTGGACTTTTGTGACAGTCTTCACCATTCTTTTCCAGGCCGGCCTGTCCTGAGTGAGGCCCTCCTAGCACTCCTTGTTGATACGCAGTCGCTTCAAAGTGTCCTGGTAGCGTTTTTTGTCCTTCTTGTCGGCGAACATCCATAGAGACGCCTCCCCGGAAGAGTTGGGCAATTTCGCATCGTCCCTCCTAACCAGCTGACGGCTGCATCACAGTTGCAGCTGCCTCACTATGGTGTGGATGCTGAGGATTCCGGTCTTGGGTCTTGTCCTGCCATCTCAGCCTCAATATTCTACATAAGCAGATGAGCTGAGGTTGATTCAGTTTCCTGGCTTGGTGGGAGTAGACGATTTAGGTTAACGCTCCATGCAGAAGTGTTGTCACGACAACGCCGTGTAAGCCCTCAGTTTTGTGTTCAGTTGATGACCGTGGCGATTCCATGGAGGCTTGCAGTTGGTCGAAGGCATGGCTGGCTTTGGAGATCTAATGGGCAACCTTTCGTCGATTTTTGTGCTGTCTGAGATAAGCGAAGTTGTCCACAATTTTAAGTTGACCGTCATTTACATTGATTCGGAGAATGTTGTATTCCATGCTGGTCGACGGTTGACGCATGACCACCCTTTTGGCAGTGTTGATTGTAAGTCTGAAGTTGTTACAGCTGGCAGTGAAATTCCATGCTCCGCTACACATCTAATCCTACCTTGGTGCCTTGCGCGCAGTCGTCAGCGAAAAGTGGATAGTGAACAGTAGTCGTCGAGAGACACGTTGGAGCCTGCATGCGACGGCTACTTATAAGATGCCTGTTAGTCCTATAGGCTATGGGTATCTTAGGCGGCTCATCACCACAGGCGTCAATCAGTATAGCAGTGAAAATGAGGCTGAGGATAATGGGACCGAGTACGCAGCCCTGCTTCACTCCATTGGTCACTGAGAAATGAGATGCGAGAAACCTTCATGATTATCGCCGAATTGCCGGTCCCCTTTGCACCTTTAAATAATAAGGGACCTGTCCTTGACGTCACACCTCCTGGAAGGGCGTTTTGAAGTAATCCATCAGTCGGTGGCCGCCGTGCTTGTAAATTTCAGCCGGGATCGCATCGGAGCCAGATGATTTCCCGCCGGAGAGTTTTTTGCACGGCGCGGATGGTTGCTGGAATGGAAGGCAGGAGATTCAGGTCGATGTTGACTCCCACTTGGGGGAGTCGGTCAATGACGGCGGCGGAGATGGTTGATGGGCGATTGAAGGCATTTCTGCAGTGCTCGCTCCAGCGCTTCAGAATCTGCGACTTCTCAATCAGAAGAGTTGTTCCACCGGTGCCGAGAAGCGGGGCGGTTTCTTTGGCTGTGGGACCGTAGATAACCTTGAGCATCGCGAAGTATTTCTTTGATTCATTGCGGCCCGCATAGTCCTGGATCTCTTCGGTCTTCTGAGCCATCCAGGCGTCCTGCATTTCTCGCAACGGCTGCTGCGCAAGACGGCAACATTGGTAAAAGGCCGCTTTGTTTGCATTGGGTAGACTGTCGAGGTAGGTTCTATGCAACCTCTTCTTTCCGACGAGCAGATTGTTAATGGCTGCGTCGCCTTCGTCGAAACAGTCTTGATTTTGAGAACTTGTGCGACCGAGGAAACCTAGAGTGGTCACAAAGACGGCGTCGCGCTGTTGGTAAAATCGTGCCTCTACGGTGGCGCTGACGTCCGAGGCTGGCAGGTCTTTCAGGTGCTGAGTTAACTGATTGTTTAAGTAAAAGCGGTAGGCAAACAAATTCAACAGATCAGTATTCAACTTTCCTGGTGATCGCTTACCCTGTGGCCTGCTGCGGGGTTGCAGACGGAGCCTTATCTTGGGGATGACGAGGCGGTGATCCATCCGGCCATCTGCAGCCGGGATCGCTTTTGTCACAAGCACGTCCTCTCAATCGCGTCACCGGACGAGAACATGATCCAGTAGCTGCCAGCGCTGCAATCTCGGGTGCATCCAGGTGGCCTTCTTCCGCATCGGCAGGCGGAAGAGGGTGTTGGTCAGCAGAAGACGGTGTGCACCGCAGCTTTACAGGAGAAGGCCATTGTCGTTGCGGTCGCCGATGCCGTGAAGGCCCAGCACCCCCTCCCGGCAGCGCAGTCCGTCTCGACGCAGGGAATTGAAGAAGACAAGGACAACCAGCTTGTCCGCCTTGGGCGCAGACGCCAGGAGGGCGTGCAGGTCCCCCTACAATTTGGTTTCCGCCTCGTTGGAGCTGGTCATTGGCGGGACGTAGGCGCTGACAATGGTGACGAATAGGGATCCCAGAAGAGGCAGGCGGGGGCTCATCAGCAGGTCGCTGATGCCCTGCGACAGACAAGGCAGCCGTCCTACGATGCAGTTCCGGATGGCAAGGGCGACGCCGGCGTCTCGTCGCCCTGTCCGAGGGCGGCCGCTCCAGTAGGCCTCGTTTGGAGAAACGGGTCTTGCTGAGTTCAGCGATGTTCACCTTCTAGCGCGCAAATTCACGAACAACTAGCACCGTCCTTCTTTCCGATCGGTCGCTCCTGGGATTGTCTACAAGAGGACGAACAATCCAGACTACCAGAGTGAGCGGAATCACCCTAGCAGCCTGTGGGATGGGACGGAAGGGGAGGGTTCAAGGGGGTCGTTGTTCAGTGTCGCACTGAGTGGTGAAATATGGCAGCCGCCTACGTCTAAACGGGTTTATTCATAAAGCATTTACACTTCCCTCAGGGGGAGACAGCTTTGAATGCGCCTCCTCAGTCAGTTAACTATGACAGCTGGGTCTTCTCTTCACGGGTTAATCACCAAAAATACAGACAGATGAGATCATCAAGACGAGCTGGCGAAAAAGGCGATGTACGGAGTCACATTTTTGACAGACCACCACATAGTCAGCTAAACTATGGAACAGTGGATTCTGAAGCGTACACGTTGTCCACAGCGAGCTCAGACAACAAACACACCGTCGTATTGTTAGACAAGAGTGGACTCAGGTGAGAAGTGGCTTGTAGGATAATCAAAAAGCTGGAAAGACATGATGAAATAAGGGGAGGTTGTGATCCGGTGAAATCGGCAGTGGGAATTGACCTAAATTCATAGTGCTGATGTACTCGAATACAAATCCCAACGAAACCAGAGCCATTGCAAACAAAAAACTGTGGAGATGCCTGAGACAGCCCTCAGGGACATTTCTCACTTAATACCATTCGGTAAACTTTGCTTCTATCATGAGCCATCCTATACAACTACGCTTGCAGCAGGAAGTACGACTGAGTACGCCCGTCATTTGTTTGCTTACGCATCTGAAAGATGAATTCGAGCCTAGGGCTAGGCGTGGGTATGTGTGTGTATGTGTGCAAATACATTCGCACAGATAATAGTTCGATCATCGCAGGCTACCGAGGACCACTACTGCTCTGGTGCCCACTTGCGGGGCAGTTTGTTTATGGTGAAGCAGATTCGCACATGATCTACCTCATTCCACATCCACACCCTCCGTATTCCAAGGGCAAGCCAGAGTCAAGACAACTGGAGGTTGAATTTGACATAATGACTGACAGGGCTGAAGCCACGCCTACATGGGTCCCGCAGTCGCCGTCTCAAAGTCCTCACAACCACGTCTCCATGCGGTATATCTCGGCTGTCACGTTTGTGAGAATTGGCAGAAAGGCCACACAGTATGGAGACGTGCAGTTTGATCTGTGTTCCGGAAGAGGGCCAGGCTATCCCGTCAGGTGGAGACTCTCCAAATTAGGATTGTTAGTGCTCCCTGGTAGCTTAGATCACACCAACGTGTATTATAGCGCGGAATGTACTGAATTGCCGTGAGTATGGACCTCTTCAGTATTAGTCCCACTTCCTCTCCTCTCTTTCACGCGCCTTGCAGGTCCGAATCCTACGTCTGTCCATGGGAATGGGCGTGACGATTGGAACGGGCTCGGATTTCCATCGCCTCGCTAGTCAACCTGTTATTTTACAGCCCCTGTTGTATCAGTTGCAGTCGGCGACGCTATTGGAAAAATTTGACCTCATTCTAGGCTAGGCCATACTTCATGTAGGTTCTGTGGAATTGGTTTTTCTTGGGGATCAGTTGCCGCGTTTTTAATCATTGTCCTTGTACCGGTCCTAATTTTCTCGGCACGCGGGGCCAATAGCTGCCATTGTGATGACATGAGCGACATCCCGCAGGCCTTTACAACTGCGCTTAAAGTCTTCATCCCTCAAGATTTGAAGATGGTTCAGGTTGATTTCAATTTTTTTAAGAGTTCGAAATTGCGTTCAATCAGATCCATTGCTATCGTGTTCAGTATCATTGGTACAATCTTCGGTAAGATATTGTTATGCAGACACACCTAATGAACACAATACTGTTGGGGTTGGAGTTAGGGGCTATAGTTTGGGGTTAGGGTCAGGGGTTAGAATTAGGGATTAGGATTAGGGGTTGGGGCAAATAATTCTCAAGCATTCATATTACAACCGCGTATTCCCAATAGCTTTTATTTTGCATACAATTACTTGATCTCGTCGCCTGTGCATTCCCCGGCCCCACCTGTAAAAACCCCTATTACCATCGGTCCCGTGTTACAGGTGTCTGGAGTTTGTTTACCTTAGGTGCGGCTACATAACCATATCTAACTCATATCGTATCCATGATTGAATCTGCAGTCTCATTTTTGGAATGAGTGAGCAGAGGTCTGTATAACAATCGTCAACACTTTCCGCCTTCGTCACGAGTACGTTACGGGTATCACAATTCCAATCGTATCCAGTTGTCCCTGCTCAAAAAAACAAGCTCTCTGAGTTCGGTCCTGTCTACATTGCAAATATCTAGGTCTCGAGAGACTGGAGCAGTTCTTGTCTCTGGCCGCTTGGACAGACAAGTTGGGGTGAATGAGGATACTCTGGAGGGCGGGGTAGGAGGTTAGAAGCTGGAGTTGTTGTTTCATACAGTAGCTGGACTATGCCATCAGAGTCCATGAGTCATCATCAGCTTCCCGGTCTGCTGCTGCTGCTGCTGCTGCTACTACTACTACTACTACTACTACTACTACTACTACTACTACTACCCCTGAGCCCCATCACGGGCTGCCTGATAGGCTCGGACAGTCGACTGTTGCTGGGGAAAGGGAAAAGGAAGAGAGGAAGAGAGAGAGAGAGAGAGCGAAGCCGGCACTGAAGAATCCCCCCTGCCTCGTCCTATCAAGTAGGGTAGATAACCGAGGGTCACTTCCAAGTGAAAAAAGCAACATTTGCTTAAATATAGGATGAACTAAAACAGGTTCTAATTTACAGGGTTCACAAATGTTTTATGAACTTGCGCTCTGACTAGCTGATGTTACCCCCTCCAGCTTTTACTGAACCGACTAGCTTCCAATCCAGGAGTATCGCTGTGTTTGAGGACCCCGAAGGTTCACTTTCTGACATCAAAACAGTTGGCAAAAATGGACCCCCCACCTCGGCCAGCGAGAGCAATAAATAAGGGACTATTTGTCTTTTTAGGTCCTTAAACTCCTCAGAAATCAATGCATTAGCTTAGGGTAAATTATTCAGAAAGGAGCTTCATAGGCTCAACCCGAAAGTTGATATGAATATTTGAGCCGAAATCTATCAGCTGCAACGGGATAATTGCGCAATTTTCATAAACTATCTAGGATTCCCAGTACACTCTAAAAGTACACCCATGTCTGGCATTAGATGCGAGTGAGTCGACCGCGCTCACGATGACTCGTTGGATCAACTGCAGAACAAGTCAGGGTAAGGGATTAATGTACTAATTCCATTATAGTTAAATTATTCCTTTCTAATTCATTATGCTATCCGATAGAGAAAAGCCCGATGAACAATGGAGACTGTGAAGGATTGTCAGACAGTTGAGTAAATCCAGAATCACCGGAACGCTTGGCCTTCGTACAGCGATAACAATGGTGCCAGATCGCGAAACCCTGCTGAGATGCGTGCGGTATAATCGATTCACATCTTCCTCCGCTTCACAACGTAAAAACTGCATTTAGAGCACCTATCAGTACTGTGAGGAGTGGCATGAAAAAGGGCAGTTTGGAGTGCCGTGGGTTAATGGAAGTCATGCTTGAGTGCGCCTGGGCTGGGCTATGTGATGATGGATGTAGCACTCTCGTCAATGAGACAAAATAGTCTGAAGCGATAAGATCCGACTTTGACGGAGAAGGACTGGAAGGGGAGTCCGGGCTGGGAGGTCGAAGGAGGGATGAGTGCCTCGCCTGCGCATTGGGATGGAGAGTCCGCACGGTTGGGTAGCTGTGAGGAGCTCATGAATCATCCCTCCCATTATCCATGGAGGTCGTTCGATTACACTTACTCCGAATATTGCCAAGTCTGCCAAGGCCAGTTTTTCAAGAGAAACGATATACTAATACCTCGATGCCGGACCGCTCAGCATTTCAAAGGCCGTCGTAGTATCAGATGTCCCTTATGGTCGGCTGTACCTCCTGATCGTAATTCAACAGAGGGTCTTTGGGTTGACTTATGACGGAGAATTCGCCGAATGCCGGAACATCAAGCGCTCCCACTGCTCAGGCTCGTTCTTGTGAGTACCTGAAACGATATAAAACGGAAAATCTCCGAACTCGTTGACGAAAAGGAGAGGCTGGTTGAAATTGTAATTATGTTTAGGTATGCGCCTACTCGATATTTACGAGAAGTCACTCCTTGATATGCATTGCCTGAAAGTGAGGCATGTTAAGGAAGCACGGCACTCACATGATTTTTCACTTTTTTAGCACCGTTCATGGGGGTGCATTATTGACCGACGGCATATCAGCCTTTCCGTCCGGAATCCGGCTCTGTTACTTCTACGGGCGTTTCTGGCCCGACTGAGCTAGCGACAGATGGCTCTACCCCGTCCG